CAAACTCTGTCTCAAAAAAGCCAAAAAAAAACCAAAAAACAAAAAAACCCCAAAAAACAAAGAACCACATGCTGATGGCTTTTTCCTTCTAGGTGTTTTGTGTCTTCACTTTTTGAAATTTGTAAGCGCTATTTTTTAAGAGTATGTTTAGGTTTACAGAATGCTTGCGGGAAGATGCGGAGGTCTGTGTCCTCGCTTCCCACCAGTCTCCCTGATGAACACCGCTCATGGTTGCTATGGATGCATCCCATAGCACTGGCCCACAGTGGAGAGCAGGGCTCCCTCATGGCGGTGGACTTTCTGTGGGCTTGGACAAATGTGGGGTGACCTGTGTCCACTCCCGCAGTGTCAGGCAGAACAGTTTCCCTACCCTGAAAATCCCCTGGGCTTGGTCTGCTCCTTCCTCTCCCTCTAGCCCCTGACAAACTCTGGTCCACTTTCTGTCTCTATACTTTTCCTTTTCCAGAATGTTCTACAGCTGGAAGCCTTCTGCCTTTTCAGTTTGGCTTCTTTCCCCTAGTAACATGCATTTTAATTTCCCTCAGGTCTTTCCTTATAAGTGCTGGGTCACGCACTGATGGCGAACCTTTTAGAGCTTTCAGTGATAACAAATGGCCTGCTCGGCACGCAGGCCATAGTTCGCCACCACCCAATTCTATGGTCTGAGTGGACCACAGTTTGTTTACCCACTCACCTACAGAAGGACACCTTGGTTGCTTCCACATTTGCCAATTGAGAATAAAACTACAGTAGCGGGGCACACTGGTGCACGCCTGTAATCCCAACACTCAAGAGGCTGAAGCAGGAGGATCTTTGGGAGGCCAGCCTGGGCTACATAGTGAGTTCAAGGCCAACCTGAACTGCAATAGTGAGATGTTGTCTCAAAAAAAAAAAAAAAAAAAAAAAAATCAAATAAATGGAATAAAAGTACTTTAGATGTTCTTGTGTATGTTATTTGGGTGCATTCAAGTGACTGCTCAGTGCTATTATTTTTAACTTTTCTGAGCTGTTTGTGTCTCTCATATGCACCATGAAATGGAAAATTTTATTTATTTATTTATTTATTTATTTTTGGTCTTTTTGAGACAGGGTCTCACTATGCAGTTCAGGCTGGTCATGAGCTCACTTTGCAGCCCAGGCTGGTCTCAAAGTCAAAACGATCCTCCTGCCTCATCCTCCTGAGTGCTGGGATTACAGGCGTATGCCACCATGCCCGGCTGAAATGGAAAGTTTAAAAAGCCGGCCTGCAGAGCGGCAGACGCGGAAGCAGCACGCTGTACAGCAAAATAGTAATTGTAGACAGCGTGTTGTAGGGTATACCATGCAGGTCTCCCGGCCTTCCTGCGTGCTTAGTTTTTGTAATAAAATGTGGGGGATGAAGTTAAAAAATAAACAAAGACCCCTGGAGCGTGTTGCGGTGCGTGTGAAACCCCAGCAGGCCACGCGGAGGATAACGGAGGAGGCCCGCATGCCCCACCTGGTTCTGTCTTCCAGGGGAGAGTAAATGTCCCAGCCGCTTCCACCCTGTTTTCTTTCGGCAGGGTGGCGTCACGGCACCCAGCAGCGCGAGTGTCGAAATCGCCTGCCCACCGCGGCGCCTGCGGCTCTAGTTTAGAAACCCAAGGAATGGGTTGTGCTCACGGTCGCCAGCAGAGGGCGCCCATGAAACAAACTCATGGTAAAGCGAAGGCCCAAAGTTTTGCGTCGGGTCCTCTACTGGATTTTTTTCATTAACGCAAAGTTCAGCGGCAGAGCGGGCCTCCCTGCACGTTGGGCCCAGCGTCCCGGAGCTGTAATGCGCTGCCGGTGGCTGCAGCGGCTCCCTACCCCTGTTGCTCTGTGGCCTGTGATCGCAGGATTGCACTCCGGCTCCTGTTCAGGGACCTGCTCCTGTCCCTGCCTGTCCCACCAGGCTGTGGCGGGTCCGGGCAGGAGATCCCGGACTTGAAGAGCCCCCCACTTCTCACTGTCTCCCCCCTCAACAGCAGGAGTCTTAAGCATCGCCCTGGCTGCCCGTTACCCATCCATCCCCGCGGGCTCGGCGCAGCCTGGCTCGTTTGCCCCGGCACCGAGTTCCTATCCCCGGGTAACGGAAGCAGGCACCTCTCCGCGTGTCACCTAAAACACACTGCAGCCCTAACCCCCAGGATCCCAGCCTGCAGCCCGACTGGGAGATGGGGCCATTCCAGAGGCAATGGTTGTGCCCCCAGCAAAGTCTGGGCGTCCCTGAGGCTGAAATAAGGACCCTAACCCACCCTTTGTAGCAGGCTCTCTGACTTCCACTGCGGAAAAAGAACTTTCAGGATGCGTCAGGAAGACGCTGTGGAAAGGCTTATTTGGGATTTAGGACGCAGTCAAGAGAGAAATGAGGTACACTGGAGGGGGAGACTGGAAACATCTGTACTTCTCTTGAGGGGTGGAAGAGCCCTGGAAAAGGTGTTGGCCCATTCTACAGGTATGGGCTTTAAAAAAAGAAAATGGTAATTTGAACATTCTTTGGGGTCACTGGACCTGCTCCTTTATTTTGCTTTCTCAAGCCAATTTACAGACTTGTACTGTTCCTGAGGAATTTTCGATGTGAAGGGTTGGTAGGGAGGGAGGGAGACTAAATTTAACCAAAGAATGTTGATAGGCCCTGCCTTGGGTAAGTTCAGCTGGTTCCTGCAAGTTGCAGTCTTGTCTGTTTTGTTTTTCTTCCGGTACCGGGAATGGAACTCCCGACCTTGTGCTTGCCAGGCAGGCACTTTGCCACTGAGCTAAATCCCAAGCCCCTGCAGTCTTCTTAAAAGTAAAAAATTTTAAGGACCGGGGACACAGCTCAGCAGTGCAAGCACCTGCCTGGCAAAAGCAAGGTCCTGAGTTTGATTCTTAGCACACACGGAAAAAAAGGAAAAATTTTTAGTTATGATTTTGTTGTCTCCTTTGTACTTTTCTTTTCCCTTTTTTCTTCTTCTTGTCTTTTTGAGACAAGGTCTCACTATGCAGTTCAGGCTGGCCTTGTGCTCACGTTGTAGCCCAAGCTGGTCTGAAACTCGCAATGATCCTCCTGCCTCAGCCTCCTGAGTACTGGGATTACAGGAGTGTGCCACCATGCCCGGCTTCTACCTTTCTTTTATCCTACCTCAATTATAGTGGGCCCTGAATGACTGGTGTTCTTACAGATATACTCTTGCAGAGGGATGACCATATCAAGAGGAGGGTATGTGTGGATCAGGGGGTGACGTATGTCAAGAAACTCTCAGTGTCACCAGGAAATCCCAGTCACAGTTGCCTCCTTCAGTCTCCAGGAACTGGCCTGCTGACTCCTGATCCCAGACTTCGGCCACCAGACTGTGCCTCGCTGTGCCTGTCTGCAGCTGAAGCCAGTTGGTAGCTCTGTGATTCACAGGTGCCCCAGGAAATGAACATGCAACCCCACTTTCCCAGTAGAAACCCTTCCTGTCCCTGCTCATTTCCCAGTAGAAACCCTTCCTGCTCCTTTCCCTATTCCGGGAAACAAGGGTGAAGTTCCAGGGCCCTGGGCTCCACAGACGGACTGGGGGCGCTTGCTCCAGCCGGGCAGCAGGCTCGTGTGCTTGTGCCCAGCCAGGTGGAGTGGGTGGGCAGAGGTGGTCCCAGGAAGAGGCTCTGGGCCTCTGATCTCCGCTGGGATATGAGTCCTTCGCTTCCTTGCACCTTTAGCAGCATCTTGACAAATGTTACAGCAGGTTTTCACCTTGCTCAAAAGACAGAGGAGGGGCCAGGTTCCCTGTGGTTGGCGCAGCTCACAGGGCCTGGGCGCCCTGAGGAGGGGTCCCAGGCTGCACACACCTGGGCAGTTTCGAGGCAGAAGCTAAGCGGACATCCTCAGAGACATCTGCAGGAAGCTCAGTCTGGGCCACAGTGTGGCTGGGCCCCGAGAGTCCAGACACCCTGGTCCACCTCCGCTACCACCAGCCTCGGCCCAGGCAGGAAGTGGGCCCCTGGGTGCCTCCCCACACCTGCCCGCAACAATGGCAGCAATGCACAGAGCGCTCTGGTGAGCTCAGCCTTCAAGAGTGGCAGCATGGTTTTCCTGGTTTCCTCTGCAGGGGGACAAAGCTCCAGCAGCTCTTAGCAGTGGTAGCACAGGTGTCCTCTCAGGAAATGTGCTGGTGACAGAGGGTCAGAGCCTCCTACCCTTTGAGTCAGACCAAGGAGGTGAGCAGCAGGCCTGTCCCTGAGAGGCAGGAGCCTGGAGCCTGCAGCAAGGGCGGGGCTGGAGCAGTGGCGCCGGCGCCCCTTGGTGTGGGGGGTTGCCCTGCAGCTTCCAGGAGAGCAAGAAATACAAATCTACACTTTTTGTTGAAGCCACGGTGGCCTGGGGTCTCTGTTAGCAGTGTGTGGAGAGTGAAGCGGCTTGCGGGGCAGACCCTGGGCTCCGCAGAACGCCGCACTTCCTAGCATGGGACCGGGACAGTTGCTCTGTGTGTCTGTACTATGTGGGTGGTAAAAAGTACCGGCTGTCGTGAGAATCAAACTGGTTAATTACAAAAAATTGTTTCTCAGTACTGGGGATTGAACCAGAACCTTCGTTTGCACTGAGCTATATCCCCAGCCCACCCGGTTTCTTTTTTATACAGAGTTTCACTAAATAGTCCAGGTTGGGCTTGAATTTACAATCCTCCTGCCTCAGCTTCCCAGAGCACTGGGGTCGCAGGTGTGCACCACCAGCAGTGCAGGTAATTTTATGAACTGTTGTTAGAAATGATCTCTGCAGTGGTGCTTGTAGAGTTAGTGCTCGGTTACTGGCTCCAGCCATGGTTCTTGGAGTCCAAGTGGTACCTGGGTCCACCCACAGCGCCACTTCCCTGTAGGATGGCCCCTTGGGGCGCCCTGCCTCCCCCACGGCTGGCCTTCCCAGAGCCCAGCGGGACAGAAACACAAGGTCCCTGCGGCCTGCCCACTGCGGACAGCGACGGTTGGAGGGCACTTGCGGACCAAGGAGTGCATCTTTTAAAAGGAAAAGAGAGGAGAGGGGATGCTTTGAGGCGGCCACACTTTATTCGCAGACTGAGGGGTCATGTGCATTATCGGCTCCTTGTATTAAATTGAGCAAAATAATCTTCCGTGGGTTGATTTGCATGGATTTCATCCATATACTTTTTCCTAATAATAAAAAGAGAAAAGGATTAGCAAACCCATGTGCTTCCTAAATATTCTCTTCTTCCTAAAGGAAAAAGCCCCGGAACCCGTGGTGTTCACGCGCTGCCCTTCTGCGGCCCCTCGCCCGCCTGCGCATGCGCTCACTGCAGACGCCGCTCGGTGGCCAGGCTGAGGTTGCCGCGGTCCAGGGCTCTGCGCTGGTCACGCTGCTGCCGCTGCTGCCGCCGCTCGTCCAGCAGCTCCACGCGAGCCCTCTGCACCCGCCGCCGGTCCCAGTCCAGGTCCCGCTGGCGCGCTTCCTCCTGGAGCCGCTGCATGGACAGAGGTGACTTCATACCAATGTCGGCTTCCCGGCTTCCCGGGGACCAGATGAAACCAGGGGCGTGGGGGGAGGGCTGATGCTACTGACCCAGAGACCCCACTTAGAGACCCTCGGCCCTCGCCTGTGGTCCCCCTGCCTCCCTCCGCCCCTTCCTGTCCCATGGCCTTAGTCCTCTGCCACGGATGGGCGACTGGCTTCCTGTTTCCCCAGACAGAGCTGCCGCCCCAGGCCTAGGTGTTTCCTAAACTCAGTGGACACACGGAGGACAAGGCTCTAGTTCACTTAAAAAGCTGCTGTTTGTGGTTTTCTGCCACTTTCAGGCAAACTTGCCCTACCCAGTGCAGATGGCCAGAGGGCATCGCGCCCTCCCTGTGCCCGGCGCACCTGTGACTTCCTGTCCTCCCAGCCCTCCCTCCTCGGCCACCTTCGCACCTCTGCGGCTTAGGCCCTAAGGCCCAGGGTCATCTGTATCCCCTCTCCTTCTTCCACTCACCACGCCCAAGCCCTGAACCGATCTCAGCGCCACCACCTTCGGGACAGGCCCAGAGCCCGGCCATTCTCTGCAGCCTCCCCTCCATCCTGTACCACTGTCCCCAGAGAGCGCTCCTTCCCCAACCCCCTGGATGTCCCCGAAAGCCAGGGGGTCCTGCTGGACCTCAGTGAGCCTGCAGGCCTCTGTTCAAAGCCCTCCAGAGCTGCCACCTGGGGCACAGGAAAAGCCAGGCTTCCCTGGAGCCGGCCAGGACTCAGGCCTCCACCTCTGAGCCTGGGCGCCTGCCCTCTCCCTTCAGTGCCCCCCAGCTCCCTCTCCTCCGTACAGGCCAGGCAGGGTCCTGCCTCAGGCCTGGGCCACCTCTCTGGTCCAAGGACGCAGCCCTGACCACATCCCTCATGCCCAGCGCTGTGCAAGGGGAGCAGCGGGCAGCAGCAGGGGGCAGAGGCTGGGGGGCAGGCACCAGCTTCTCCTGGATCTGCTGCTTCTGGGCCAGGCGGATGTCCTCCAGCTGCTCCCGGCTCATGCCCTTCCAGCGGTCGGGGACCACGCGGTGCGGCCCCAAGGCGCTGGCCGCCTGCTGCGGGTTCTCGGAGAGCAGGTCCCCCCGCAGCAGGTTGGAGATCTCAGCCACGTTGTCCTCCTGCTCTTGCCTTTTCTCTTGTTTCCTCCTTCCCGCTGACTCCATGGCCTGTGCGGGAGGGGGGGGGATGCCATTGCGGGGGCACTTGGGGTGACTGTGGGGACTTCAGGGCACAGGTCGCCAACCCCAGCAGGCCCACACTGGAGGGCCGTGCTGGGCAGCAGAGGCTGGCTGGGCCGGATGGGGGTGGCCCCGGGCTGCCTGGGCACTGCTGGGCGAGTGGGCTGGGCCTGGGGTCCCTGCCTGCGGGGGTGTGTGTTGGGGTACTGACCCCGATCCCATCATCTTGGCCCCGCCTGGGACAGGGTTCTGTGGCCCTTCTAAGACTCTGGGAACCTGGGGGCATCACTGGGCTCCAGAGTGAGTCACTCCAACATCCTCTCATGCTAAAGGAAAAGGGTGACAGAAGGAGGTAGAGAAATACTGCAATATTAGGGCAGAGGCTGACACCGGCTTGGAAATGCCCCAGGCCCAAGCGGAGGTGAGGCAGAGCAGGCCGGGGCCCAGGGCTGAGCGCACAGAAACGAGGCCCCAAGATGGGGACAGGCTGGCGGGCAAGGCTCCCCGAGACAGACAGCAGCTCAGAGCTGGGCTGTGACCAGCGCCCCCGGCCCGGCGAGCCTGGACAATGTCACAGACACCCGGAGCACCCTACCCTGGCTCCTGCCCCTTCAGAAACGCCTTTGTTCTTTTCAGCGTTTTACGCCTTACTTGTACCTGTTTTCCTACTGGGTCAGTATCAGCCACGGGCCTGTGCTTGTAATCCACACGCTGATTACAGTCCGACCCCGGGTCACCTGCAGTGGGATTTCACTGTGTAAAACCCCCCGGACAAAGAGCCTCACAGCAGCCCACTTCCGGGACCCTCCTCTCTCTCAACAAAACTTTCCCACTGTTCTCCTCCTGTCCTTGATGTGTTGGCACTGGTACCCTGAGACGGGAACTCAGCCATCTAACAGGTTGGGAATTATTTCTCTGTAACAGAAGGACCATACCTCCAACTGATCAACACCATTGACAAACCCACAGCCAACGTCAGACCAAATGGGGAAAAACTGAAAGCATTCCTCCTAAAATCAGGACCATGACAAGGGTGTCAGCTGTCGCCGTGCCTGCCCGTTCAACACGGCCCTTGGAACATTAGCAAGAGCCATCAGGAATAGAGGAATAACAAGGGTTTGAGTAGGAAAGTCTTCTTCTTCAGTCAAACTATCCTCATTTGCAGATGGTATGACCCTTTACAGAGAAGATCCCAAAAACTCCACCAGAAGACTCTTAGAACTAATAAACAAATTCAGTAAAGCAGCAGGATACAAAATCAACACACAAAAATCAAGAGAATTCTGTACACCAGCAATGAGTTCACCAAGAAAGATAACAGGAAAATAATTCCATTCATAATATCTTCGAAAGGGGGCTGGGGATTTAGCTCAGCGGCACAGCGCCTACCTGGCAAGCATGAGGTTGTGAGTTCGATTCCTGGTACTGGAAAAAAAACCCAAAAAACCAAAAAAAAAAAAACAAAAAAGCTTCAAAAAACATGAAATACCTAGGAATTAATCTGACCAAGGAAATGAAAAACCTCTGTAACTACAGGGCTCTAAATAAAGAGATCAAAGAGGACATTAGAAAATGGGACGACATCCTCTGCTCTGGATAGGGAGAACCAATATTGTCAGAATGTCATTATTACAAAAATATTACATAGATTTAATGCAATTCCAATCAAAATACCAACAGCCTTTTTCATGGAACTAGAAAAAACAATGTTAAAATTTATATGGAACCTGGAGAAACCCAGAGCAGACAAAGCCACCCTGAACAAGAGCGGAGCAGCAGTCATTACAATCCTGGACTTCAAAGTATTTTACAAAGCTGTAGTGATAAAAACAGTGTGGTGATGGCACAAAAACAGACATGTTCACCAACAGACTAAACGAGAGAACGCAGAAACAGCTCCAATCCCTTCAGCTACCTGATTTTTGACAAAGGAGCCAAAAACATACCCTTGAGAAAAGACAGTCTATTTAACAACCAGTGCTAGGAAAACTGGTTCTTCACATGCAGAAGAATGAAACTACATCCATAGCTCTCACCCTGAACTCAAATCAAATCAAAATGGATCAAAGATCTAGAAATAAAAACAGCAATACTGAATCTGCTCGAAGAAATAATTATAAAGCTCTTCAAGACATAGGCAAGGAGTTTGTGAACAGAGCGCCAATTGCAAAAGGCATAATATCAAGAATCAGCAATTGAGATTGTAACAAATTCAAAAGCTCTGCTTTGCAAAGGAAACAACCAACAGAACAAAGAGACAACCTAAAGAACGGGAAAAACTTTTGCCAGCTACTCTTTGGACAGAGGACTGCTATCCGTAATACATGAAGAACTCAATAAAAAATTACTCCCCTCCAAATAAAAATGATCCAATCAAAAATGGGCAACTGAAATGAAGAGACACAGACCAGATGTACAAATGGCTAAGAAACACACGAAGAAATGCTTGGTGTCTTAGGTCATCAGAGAAATGTAAATCAAAACAACACAGACAGTCTGTCACAAGTTCAAAAAGCAGCAAATGCTGGGCAGCCGGTGGGGGGAAAACCTTCTGCATTTCTGATGGGGGTGAAAACTGGTGCAACCACTGTGGAAATCAGTACAGAGACTCCTTGAAGAACTAAAAATAGGAATTCTACTTGACCCAGATATGCTTCTTCTAGACATCTTCCCCAAAAGAGTTAAAGGCATCATATTTCAGGGGAGCATGCATACCTATGCTTATAGCAGCACAATTCACAATAGCTAAACCATGGAATCAGCCTATATGTCCATTAACAGAGGACTGGATAAAGAAGATGTGGTACTTACACACAATGGAGTAGTACTCAGCCACAAAAAAGGGTAGAGCGAAATCATTTCAAGGAAAATGAATGCATCATGGGAACATAAATGGTTTCTCTAATATGAGAGCCCCCAAATATAAGTAATGTAAAGAGCAAAAGAAAAGAAAAATTCTAGGAAACAGGGAGATGGACTCTGGAGGTAGGAAAGGAACCTGGTGAAAGAGAAGGGAAGAGGGTAAAGAGGACCACGATGCCATCTGTACACGCGTCAGTCCCCCAAGACGCATGTAATTACTATGTATCACAGACATATACTACTAAAAATTTTTAAAAAGAGTGAGTCACCACAATGGTGACTGCTGAAAGGTGGAGAGGTATCGCCACCTGAGCGGTCCTCGTGGCCTCAGCCACAGCCCCCCAAGTAGATAAATTCCTGCCAGCCACCGCTCTGGTCCCCGAGGTGGCTGTGCAGTCTGCGGCAGGTCACTGTCCCCCTCTGGGCTGCAGTTGCTTCTTGGCGAGGCTGACAGACAGATGAGGAGACATGGCCCGCGGACGGGTTCTCCGCAGGGTGGAGGGCACAGTGCTCTTCGAGGCAGTGCTCACGAGCGGCCAGCTGCGCTGTGTCATACAGCAGGTAACACAGTTAAATCGCATGACTCCCGCCTCAGGCAGGGCTGTGGGACAGAGCGACCAATGATAGCAGCAGTTGTTGCTAGGGTGAAGGACAAGGACTGTCATTTACCGAGTCCTGGTGTGGGTTAAACCCTTCTAACATGCGTGTGTTTTACCTGATGTAATGCTCACAGCCACTTTCTTTTTTTTTCTTTTTTTTTTTTTTTTTTGGTGGTACCGGGGATCGAACTCATGACCTTGCACTTGCCAGGCAGGTGCTTATGTCGCTGAGCTATATCCCCAGCCCCTCACAGCCACTTTCTGAGCAGGGGTGGCCCATCTTACGGCTGACCGTGACATCTCGCCAGGGTGCCTTCTGGGTACGTGGAAGAACTGCACTTCCTGCCCACTGGGGTGGGTATGGCCACGGCACTCACTTTGGCCAATGAAGAGCAAGCGGAGGAGGCTGTGCACTTCCGGGAGGACCAGGGTGAGGTGGACCTGGCCATGCCGCTTCCTTTTTGTGCTGCTGGAGTCCTCCACATGGGAGCTGCTCTGTTCCAGCCAGCCATGACAGACCCAGGGCCATGGGTGGGACATCAACTTTGAGCGTTAAGGCTGAGCTTCGGGGGCTATTTCTTCCCCAGGCAAGAGTTAGCTCCTGCTAACATTTACAGGTGCGCCATCTTTATCCTTATTCTACAGAAAGACTCAGGCCAGGAGTGGCTTGCCCCAGGCTAAGAAAAGGGCCTGCGCACAAACCCCAATTCCACAACACCTCTCTGGCAAAATGAGTGGCCCTCAACAAAACCTGAGGCTCCAGTGCACCCTCCCCGCTGACACGGAGTGGCCTGCCCCGAATTCTCCTTTGAGGATGGCTGTCTAGAACCTTGTCTTGATGTCCAAGCCAAATTCTAGCTAGGAGCAAAACTGCAAGAGCTAATGCGCGGCTGTAGTCAGCATGGAGGCGTCTGATAGCACTGCCTCGCCGTGCCGGGCACATGGCAGGTGCTCACTAACGTTCCAGAGGATGCATGAGTAACTCAGCCAGTGAGTGAGGTAATGCAGCTAAATATATTGGCACTGGGGTGCCCAGGAGAAGGGGCTCAATAAACATTTGTTGAGTTGATAAATGAACAACTGGCTGGCTGGCCAATGGGGGATTAACTGTCAGGAACCCCAATCTACCTGCAGTTTGCCTGGAACAAAGGCTTCCCTTTTGTGCTCCCTGTAAAAGGAAGGACGAGGACCAGATAATTTCCACCGCCCTGCAGCTTCCTGGGTGGTAACTTGGGTCTCTGGATGGTTTTCTGCCCCCGGGTCCTGGCCACTGCTGGCCGCTTGCCCACTTCGTCCCCTCCCTGCTGTTGAAAACCTACATTCCCTGGTCTGTGGCAGCTTCACCAGTGTTTTTTAGATCGCTCTCTTTAACGTGGAACATTTCTGAGCTTGTGTCTCCAATCTATTTAGCTCACAGTGTGGCACTATCACATAAACACAGGACGCGCCTTCTAAAATACACATGAATACAAGGATTGAGAGCGATGCTGTGAAATATAAATGTGAAGGAGAATTGTGGTATGTCCTTTCTGCTGTCCAAAGGACCAGGCTGCAGAGCCTCCTTTGGAGCCCACGGGTCTAGTTAACAGGTTAATCTGATAAACTAACCCAGGCCACGCTCCACTGCACTCAGGAAACGCAATTGCGTGTGAAAAGGAAGGGTGGAGAAGGTCTCATCTCCAGAAGGAATAACGACCTCGGCACCAGCTTGGAAGTGCACTGTCAGCACCGTCATCGGCACTCTCCTTAACCATCCCCCTGTCCTTGGTGAGGAAGAACTGAAAGCAGCGGTGTCAGGGCAGTGCCGGGCAGTGCCTGCCTGGGTGAGCGGTACTTTCCTCGAGGTATGGAAGGAGAAACTGAGACTTAGGAAGGTGAGCTGACCTCCCCAGCCTGAAGCTGGGTTTTTCAGGTTTTGCTCCCAGATGCAAAGCTAAGGGACACACCAGGCCAAGTCTCATGCAGCTCCATCATGGGCTCCCTTGGAGCTGGCGGTGTGACCAAGTGAATGGGCTGGGCTGGGGACCCCAGAGGGGCTGGGGGTCCCCAGAGAGTTGCTGTGTGCTCGACACACACACACACACACACACACACACACAGCCCGCCGCCAGCACTGAGCGCGCATTAGGTATACCTGGTTCTTGTTGAACTCTTTCACAGCTGCACAGCCAGCCTTCCTGGTGGTGCTTTCCAGCTTCTGTAGGTGTCTGGCTGTCTCATCAAACTTCAGCCTGGTCTGTGTGTGGTGGTCCTCTGCAAGGACACAAGCCCCAGAGTGAGTGTGCCCAGCTGAAGCACCTTCCCGGGTGTACGGAACACTTGCAGTGTGATTGTTTACATATTCTCTTGCCATGTCCTCATTTATGGGGAGGACAAGGAGGCTAATTATGAGGACCGGCCTCCAAAGGAGGTGGGAGTGTTAGAGAATTTAATTCAAGCATAGATTTTAGACCTTGGCACTCAGTGAGAGCTGAGGATCACTTCTATGGATTGGTAATGTCTGTGATAACTGGTGATGTCTGTGATGGATTGGTGATGTCTGCTAAGATCCTGGGTGGGTCAGTGCTCTGCCCCTTGCTATTCCAGCTCCAATCAGGAGGTGGCTACATCCATACAGATGAGCAGGGGCTGCTCCAGCAGACATTTACCTGTGTGCTAAGAGCTAAGCATCCCACAGTGAATGAGCTGACAGGAATCTTGTGCCCTCACTGAGCTCTGGTTATGATATGGGGCAAATACAGAAAGTACACAGTGTATCTGTGAGAAGTCGCAGAGATCGCCAGGAGTTCAGGGTCAGTCTGGGCTACCTCATGAGCTCAAGACCAGCCTAAACTACATCACAAAACCCTGTCTCGGCAGACAAGATAACAAACAAACAAAAGGCTATGGAGAAAAATAAAGTAAAGGGGACAGGGAGGGTGAGGCTTTAAAACAGGTGGGTCAGGGGAGACCTCACCGACAAGGTGACATTTTAGCCAATACCTGGCTAGGAGAAGAGTGAATCCTGTAGACATCTGGGGAAAGATGTCCCTAATGTGTTAATATTATCCCTTAATTATCGTGGACTGATCAGGCCCATAGTCTCCCAAATGAGTGGATGGCGAAAGCTTAAATAAAAGAGTTAAGTGGTATGATTTTAGGGTTCCAGGAGGGTCAAAACCCTCTAACAGAATTTAAGATTCTCTGGGGACTAAGACCAAGATCTTCTCTGGGCGGTCTGTATATATTTAGTTATCAAACAAAGGAAAGGAATATTGAAGAAAGGCAGGAATCTGAGCAGGAAGTTCAAGGACCTTGGAAGCCCACTCAAGGGCTTCTCCAAGTAAGACAGTAAGTTAATTTAGGAGAACTGTGTTATCTCCAGGAAGGTCTTCACAGCAGGAGTGAGATGCCTGCGGCTACAGTCTTTATCTAGTGAATTCAGGCTGGAGCCAGGTGTCCTCAGCTGTGGCCTTGTCCTTTGAGGCTTCACGGCTTCACCGACTACTACAGGCCTCAGTAGGGATCAGTGACTCACAGAGGTTCACTTACTATGAGTCCACCACCCATCTCCAGACAAGGGGTCTAGGCACTGGACAGACTCACTAGTAAACGTGGAAAGCCAGTTGGTTAATTTAAATCCTGCTCAGAGCCTCTAGGTAGTGGTCTCTATCATGTCCCTAAGCAGAGGGAGCAGCAGGTGCAACGGCCTTGAGGCCAAAGTGAGGCTGGCTGTGAGCCCGGCACACACACGCCCTGGCAGCAGTGCAGAGGCAGCACTGAGAGGATGGGAGCGGCGTGGGCCGTGCAGGCCACGCCGTGAAGGCCTTGTGGATCCTTGAACTCATGTGTGAAGTAAAGGTGAGTGCAGAGCTTTGAGCAAAAACTCTAACTTCACTTTCACAGACTGTTCCGCAGCTGGCCTGCGGGGAGATTACAGGGGACACGCGCGGAAGCAAAGATCATCGAGGGGCCTTCACGAGGACGCCTGAGTTGAGAGGCGATGGCAGCTTAGTCCAGAGTGGCGATGGCGGAGGCGACAGGATTAGCTGAAGTGGGAGATGACTTCCTGGGGGACTACGTGGCATGAGAGGAAGGAGTCAGGAGGACCTGGGTTGGGGACCAGAGACAAAAGAATGGCGTTGCAGTGTGGCACGGGCAGTCAGGCCTAGTGGGGACCAGAGTGTGTCACTTGCCTTGTCTGACTTTGATGTGTGCAGAAGATGCCCTGGGTAGAGCAGGTAGATGGACTTATGAATCTGGATTCAGGGAGGTGTCCGGCCCAAACCTGCAAGCCTGGGAACGACAGCCTGTGCCTGGGTTTCTACATGAGACTGCCTGAGGGATGAGTGAAGCCGACAGACCGACAGCCACAGGCAGCACTGGTGTGACTCACACCCAGAGGCTCAGAAGAGGAGCTGGGCAGGAAGAGGATACACACGGGTGTGGGGTCCTGGAGACCCCATGGCTACCTCACGGAGGAGGAAGTGACCAACGGTGCCACCTGCTGCCTCAGGCCAAGGTGAAGACTGAACACCAACCTTGGACCGGGTGACATGGAAGTCCCCGGGGAGGTCGGCCTGGGCAGCCCCAGGGGAGGCGGAGGGCGGAAGTCTGGCGGGAGTGGGCTCAAAAGAACAGGTGATCTGGGAAAACACCACGGAGAACAGAGTAGGAAGAGGAGGCTGGAAGATGGGCTGAACACGGAGACCACAATTCACCACTAGCGATGCGGGCTTGGGAGCGCAGGGAGCTGACCCCGGAGTCCTCTTCTGCCTCCAACGCAGCCCCTCACTATTCCATCACCCGCTGATCCCTGGCCCACAAGAGCAGGGACGTTGTTGTATTCCCCGCACAGATGGTGACCAGGAGGACCAGGTGCTCCTGTGAGTGCCTGTAGGAGGGGCAGCTGGTGGGGCAGGATACCGGTACCCCAGTGACAGCAGGACCTACTGGGCTGTTTCATGCCTCAGAGCCTTGGCCTGAGAGGCGCTCCGGGCCTGGGGAGTCCTGGTGATGTCACGCGACTTCCTACCCCAGCACCCAGGAGACTTGGGGTGGGGAGCTATGCATTTCTGTTCATCTTCCTGGCAGAATGGGAACATAACTCAGGCAGAGACCAATTCTGAGTGAACTGAGCTGCAGCACCCCACATGCTCAGAAAGGTTTCCCGTGGTACTAATGCACAAGTGGAGATGTCTAACTCCTGGAGCCCAGGATCTGACTTCTCTTTCCCCACATGCCAAGGCAATAACACATGGCTGTGCATATTAGAAGAACTGACAAAAATGCCCATAAAAACTGAGCATAGTGGTATAGGCCTATGTTCAGCACTTTGGGAAGCAAATCTCAAGTTTGAGCCCAGCATGGGCAATTAAGTGACTTAGTGAAACTCCGTCTCAAAATAAAATATAAAAGTGGGTGTAGGGACATAGCTGAGTGTGAAAGGCCGTGGGTTCAATTCCAAGTACCACAAAAATCCAAAACTGAGGGCCAGGGATATAGCTCAGCCCCACAACACCTGCCTGGCAAGTGCAAGTTCCTGAGTTCAATTCCCAGTACAAAAAAAAAAACCAACCTCCCCAAAAAAACCTGAAACAAACCGCAAAACTGGGGGTTGATTTATCAAAGAGACTATTAAAATCAATTCATCTCTTCTCTTTCATCACCTGCAAACTTTTGGTCAGCACGGGCTTTCTCCCATTCTCTGTGCTGTTGTAAGGACCATTCTCTCATCTGTTCTTCTTGGAATTTCTTCCTCTCCCGGAAGTTTAGGTCTTCGCCCATAAACTTCTGCATCCCTGATATTGTGTTCCGGAAATCCCTGTCTGACTGCCGGGCTGGAAGCTCTTTCCTAAGGCCTAGTGGGTCAGATAGATCAAATTCTCGGCGAGTCTCTGGATTCTGACAGTTCTGTTGGAAGTCGTTGATAGCTCGGCAGAGATACTTCCTATCTCTCTTCTCCCGGTCGTCTAATATGCACCTGATTTTGTCATTTTGCCTCAATTCAGCAGCTAGAAAAGACACAGTACATGCATAAGTTTAAGAGGAAAAATTTCTAAATAATTTAAATGATTATTAAAGTATTATAAGCCTTCCTAAAAAGTAACATAACAAGTAAAGGATTACTATCCTGAATATACAAAGACACGTCCAGTTTTAAAATCATAAACAACCTAACTAAAGTCAAAATGGATCAAAGATATAAATATTAAAACAGAAACACTAAATCTACTGGAAGAGAAAATAGGTAGAAATCTTGAAGACATAGGGGTAGGCAGAGAGTTCACGAATGAAAACCAAACAGCAGGGGAAATACTTCAAAAAATCAACAACTGAGATCTCATGTTATTGAAGTTTTTGCACATCAAAAGAAATCACCAACAGAGTAAAAAGAAAACCCACGAATTGGGAAAAAATTTTAGCCAACTGTCCACCAAACAAAGGACTTCTTTCTAGAACATATAAAGAACTAAAAAAAAAATCAAGCCCCTCAAATTCAAAGACCCAATCAAAAAACGGGCATCTGAGATCAATACACACTTCTCAGATGAAGAAATACAAATGGCATATAAATATATGAAAAAATGTTCAATATCATTGGTCATTTGAGAAATGCAAATTAAAACAACACTGAGATTCCATCTCACCCCAGTGAGAACAGCTATCAAGAAACCTACCAACAACAAATGCTGGGGGGGCTGTGGGGGAAAAGGAACCCTTCTCCACTGCTGATGGAAGTGTAGACCGGTACAACCACTATGGAAATCAGTGTGGAGATTCCCCAAAAAACTAGGATTAGAGGTACCACTTAACCCAGCTATTCCCCTCCTGGATATTTTCCCAGAAGAACTGAAAACACCATACCACAGTGATATATGTGCACCCATGTTTATAGCAGTGCAATTTGTCACAAATGCCCAACTGAGGAATGGATAAAAAATGTGTTTTTATACAATAGAGTATTACTCAGCTATAAAAAAGATAAACTCAAGGCTTTTATAGGTGAATGGATGCAACTAGAGATCATACTCATAAGTGAAGTAACTCAGACCTGCATGTGTAAACATTGTATTGTCTCCCTAGTGTAAGAACCTGAAAGAGTAAATAAAATCCAAAAGGTACATACTATGCAAGGGAAAGAAACTGCTCAAAGGGAAGGAACAACTGGGATGAGGGAAAGGAGAAAAGAAAGAATGAAAGGAAAAAAAAATGTATGTATATACAAGGATGGCTGGGATAATTATATTGCTGATTTCTATTGGTTTATTGAAAGGAACAGTTAATGCTTAGAATATTTTTCTTTTTAATTTTCTGACCAATTTTGCATGCCTATATCTGGTAATCTGAACAACTAATTTGAAGACAACAATATACAACATAGCAACCATTACTGAATTCCTAAAAAAACACAACAGGTAGTAATTGAATAAAAATATGAGAAGGATACATGGAACATTGTCTTCTAACATGTTGTCTTGGTTACTTTTCTCTCGTTGCTGAGACGAAATACCCGACGCCCAAAATGAAGGAAGGAAAGGTTTATTTAGCTCACAGTTTGTGGAGGTTTCAGTACATACGTGGCTGGCTCCGAGGCAGAAGGTAGCAAAGCAACAAGAGCAAAGCGGGGAATGGCAGCCGAACAGCAAACAGCCAGAGCAAAAGGGAGGAATGGCGGCAGGCAGCCTCTTTCCCTCTCTTACATTGTAAACAGGCTACCCCCACCTAAGGGGCATGTAGCTCTCACATAATCTTTGCCCTCCTCTTCCACAGGCTCAGGATGTATACAAAGTGAGCACCCTGGCTTCCTGCTGAGTCACTTAGCCAAACCTCTAGACTCCCCAAGTTCACACAATGTATCAACCACAACACATGTGAATTACCATTAGGTTCATCTGCAAATGAATCTGATGCACATGGACACCCATGAAGTCCTGAAATTTCTCAACAATAAATTTAGACTTGTAGAGAGATCAGGCACAAGTCAACACTTAGTAAATCTTCTTTGATGATGTCAGTGACAGAGAGCGGTGCATGTGAGCCTTCCCCTGGAATCCTTCTTTTCACTCAATTCCCTGAAGTGAGCGCCTTGATGGGCTAATGTGAAAGCCAAAGAAAAAGCCCAAAGACTAAGTAAGAGGAACATGACTTTGACAAATCCCACATAGAAAGGAAGGAAAAGAAAGATCCTAGGAGGCTATAAATTTCCCACAGAACTGGGGCACATTGTCTTTTAAAAGTTAAGAGATTTAATTGACCCAGCTGACATCCTCCATATGATGTTTTCTTAGTACTGGGCACTGTGCCAGTCACATATTTTTTGATCACATATGGCATGTGCGGCTCATGGTCAGAGTCAGGCTTAAGAGAAGCTAGGTGGGCAGTTATCCAAGGGGTAATCTGAGCAGAAAAAGGCAAGTTCTCTCACCTCCTTCCAAAATAAAAATGACCATAATAGTCTGTGACAATGCCGTAAATGTCTGAAATGTCCAAACTTTTTTTTAATTTTAAAGAGAAAAAAAGATAAACATAACAATGAAATGGAGTTTCAAAACAGGTTAGTAGGACACTTACAGTAGTTGATATATTGCCTATCGTTGTCTTCTTAGTAGTTAAAAGACTTTTTTTCAATCCTAGAGGTAGAAGTCAATATATATGGACAGTACAAAAGCTTTCTGAGAAAAGTGAGGTTCATTGCCTGATTCCAACTGTTGTTTGGATGCTGGAGTTCCTGGCCAAAAGGCAAAGAAAACCTACCATGTGCTTGGCTATTTTACAATAATGCTGCAATCTGAATCCAAATACACCCACTTACTATGAATACTTTTTGTCAAAACGAAACTGTACAGTAATATATGAATTACATATCTTGCTCCTTATAAAACTTACAGATTAACTCACTAATAATAGTTGGTGAGAAATAAGAGAAAGACTTTATTTGGGGTATGTTCCATTAGAAAGGAGTGTTTTCCAGTTTTATTACTAACAAGTGAATAAACAGACTTCTGTTTTCACAATGAAAAAAGAAATCATAAACAACCTAACCAAAAAGTGGGCAAAAAAATTGGACCAGGTAAACCTGAGTACTGGGTAAAGAAATGTGCGCATTCAATAACCGTGTGAAGGGATGATTAACCTTGCAAGATGGGAAACGTCCTATGAACTGGAGGCAAAATACTTCAAATGCACATAGTAGGATCTATTAGTGAGCATGTGGGGGAAACAGGATTTCTCATTCACTATTATTTGTGAGGAGAAATTAATTCTATTTAAAATTCTGATCTAAGACCTACAGCACCATTATTTGAGTCATGTCTATTGATGCATCAGCTCAGGGGTGGGCACCCTAGAATGTGTCCATGTGTGTTTAAGGCTTTTCCAGTTTTTAAGGAAAACATACTTTATCCTTAAATATATCTCCTATGACCTATACTAGAATTCAATAGCTGTTTTTCTTTTAAGAGAGGAAGAGTTTGCTCATTAAGTTAACTGAGAACAAGAAATTATGAAATTTTAAAAGGAAGAAAGGTATGAAAATGACCCCTTCTCCTTCCCTGTCCCCTTCTCACCCCTCTCCTCTTTGCCCTTCCTTTCATCTTTCTCTCTGTCTCTTTTCCTTTCTTCTTCCCTCCCTCCCTTCCTTCTGAGAGTGCTAGAGACTGAACCCAGCCTTATGCATGCTAAGTGGGTACTTACCACTCTGCTACATCCTAGCCCAACCACTTTGTGTATTTTTTTATATACTGTAAAGAAATGAAGACTGCAACCTAAAGACACCACCCAGCCCTGAACCCACAGAGAGGCACTCAGGAAATCCTCACCAAAGGTTTCATGCCTAGCTTTTTCCGTTGCTTCTTTTATCCTCTGGTCATGAACCTGAATATCCCAGGCTTGTGTGTCTCCCTGAGAGTGGGAAATTGAAGAAGAGTGGTTAGAGCCAGCACACGTTATGGAGTAGAGAACAATCCTCCTCATCTTGTTAGTCTTGTCCTGTTAAGGAGCTGTCTTAGAGATAGATCAGCTTAGGGATATAGATCAGCGGCACAAGCGCCTGCCTGGCAAGCTCAAGGTCCTGAGTTCCACTCCAGGTACAAAAAACCAAAAACCAAAAACCAAAAAACACCACAAGGAGCTGTCTTAGGTGCACACACAGCCTTTCCACGTGTGGATGCCTTTGCTTATAGCTGGCCCTCCAGCCTGTGCTCTCCACCTTCCCCAGAGCTCCCTCCCCCTTTCTTAGGTGACAGACACTCTTCTGTCCCTCGCAGTTCCAGTCCCTGCTGGCGGGTAGTCAGGTCTCCTCCCGCACAGCACTGACCCCACTACCTTTGCATGCTCGCCTCCTCCCTGGGCCATGCATGCTCAGGGATGCCTGATTCCTCATCCCCTGGACCTGGCTCGGACTTGCCACTAAACAGGAACTCTACGGGCATTTGTCAAGTGAATGGGCTGGAAGGAACCAGCCCCCGGCACTGTAGTAAATCTGCCTCAGAGACTGAAAGCCGTATTCTGCGTAACTTCACGTTCCTCTGCCTACTCCAGGCACGTTCTTCCCACCTCCACCTCCATGTGCTACCTGGCAGATGCGAGGCTGCTCTGTTTGGCTTGTTAAGGCTCTCCTACCTTCGGCAAAGCCATGCACCGCAGCAAAACCCGGTGCGGTACAACTCTGCCTGAATCAGAAGTTCATCCTCAGGTCTCTCCCGCAGCCCGCCCCCTCGCCCTTCCTCTTCCCCTCGGGCTGCTGGCCTCACCCCGATGATCCTGTTCCTGGCGTTGAAGACCCGCTGCTGCCTGCACAGCTCCGCATATGACCTCTTGGCGAGTTTGGCTTCCTGCTCCAGGTCCTTGGGCAGCGCTACCTTCATGGCTCTGGAAAACGACCCCAAGTTCGATGGGGTTTTCAGAACAAGCACGGTAAGACGAAAACCACAATAAAGCAAGCCGCAGCCGAGGCGAGGCTGGCTGCCTGGGATCTCGCGGACCTGCGGAGGAGCGCAGACGCGCTCCCTAGGAAACGCCAACTCTGGTTGCTAAGGAATGGCGTACGCGCGCGCCGCTGTGGTCTCGCGAGATTCGGCCGAGACTTGGCGTTCGTCTCCCGCGCTTTTCCAGCCAGCTCGTGAGAAGGCGGGCGAGGCGCGAGCGCAACCATGGGTCACTTGGAGCTGCTGCTCGTGGAGAACTTCAAATCTTGGCGGGGCCGCCAGGTCATCGGGCCCTTCAAGAGGTTTACGTGCATCATCGGCCCCAACGGCTCCGGTAACGGGCGCCGCGGCGGGGCTCGAGGCCGGCGACACCGGCCTGAGGGGATGTGGTGCCACGCGGCTGGCGACGGGCCGGGGCTTTTCCCGCGGCCCTTCGCCTCAGAGCCGAAACCCACCCCGCTGCCTCCGCCTCGTCCTCCTCCTGCGCGACCCCGGCCCGCTCCCTCTTTCGCC